CACACACACACACACACACACACAAACACACACACATATAGATATATATATATATATATAATTTTTTGTTTTATTATTATCCTAATAGCAAGTAAATAGTCATGAATATTATATGTCAAAGTCCTCTTTTTTATTATTTTTTATTATGTTTTAAACTTGTGCGCTAATTTATTAATGAAATCTTATTTGATCTATTTTCTTAAGCATATTAAAGTCCATATGAATCAAAGAATTCATAGTTTGAATAAAATATTTATTATTTCATTAATGTGCTAGAAAATCTAATCAATATTTATTTGTCAAAAAAAGTTAGGGTTTTTATTGGAAACTTTGGGTTACTTATTGTCAATCTTTAATTACTTTTAAAGTGGGAAGCCAACTTAATCAATATTTTAATGAGCAAATGACTAATTATACTATATTTTACACCAATCATTATGTACATGTAACTAGTTGGCCTAATAATTCACAATTAACATAATTTATTAGGCTTTATAATTCTTAATCATTAATCAATCAACACTACTTTAGCAACCATTGTGCTGATTACTTAAGACCATGATTAAATTAAGTAGACTTATATATTGTCTTAACATTGATTAATCAATATAAATTGTAATTATTTCACTTGGTTAAGCTTTTTTTTTTCTATGAATTAAGAGTGAATTTAACACAAATTTGCTCACAACTTGGGCTATCCAAGTGGCTCATTGTTTGCGAATAACTTGTGTTTAGTTCGTTAAATAGTTTGTGTTCGATTCGTTCACTAAGCAAATGAGCCGAATAAAAATAATTTTTTTTGCGCTCGATATGTGACAATGGTGAATGAGTATGTCATGTCATTATAAATTTGTGTATATGATCTGACATGATGTGGCTTTTTTATTCATTGTTGTTCATTCCATACGTAATAATTTCTCCTAAGATAAACACTCGCTGAGATTAAAGTCTTTAAGATCAAATCTAATGGGCATACACACCACACAATTTCTATGTATTTACATATCCAACGTCAAAGCATTTATAAATGCACGTCTACTATTTTAATATTTAACATCACATCGAAGATACAACGTCATTATATTTCTTAAAGTGAATCATATATTGTCATGCATAATCTTATGACATTGAGATGGCAAGCTGTTATAAATGTAGATATCAAATTTTAGGTGTTAGATAATATAAATAGCTAAGAATTTGTGGTATCTTCGTTGGATGGCTCTATGGGCATGGCCCCATTCTAAGGCATTTAATGAATGACTACTTTCATGCTAAGTTTAAGTTGGCCACTCCTTAAAGGTAGATGTTGCGGTTTGCAAAATATTATAGTTATCTTAAACATTGATTGATTCATCTATTGTTCTAAGAATTTATTAGTATATTCGTCCTAGATAATGCTTGAAAATGCTTTATCTTTGCAATCCTCCATGGCCTATCCTTATGTGGGAGCTTAGGCTCTACTCAAGAAGTTTTGGATTTGAGAGTTTGCGTATACGTTGTGAGCAGGGGG